AAGTTTTATTCTATCTTATCTAGGATTAGTTTTATTTTAATTTTATCTTTTATTGCCATGTAAGCATTAAAGTTCTTTTACAATTAGGAAACTATGTATATAAATTAAGGAGTGGGGCGGCTGTTTTAAGCACTCCAACCATTCTCTTCTTTCAAAGCTTCTCCCACGAGTGCTCCTTCCCTATCTCTCTTCTTCTCTTCTTCTCTTCTTTTTTTCTTCTCTTTTTTTTTTCTGTTCAAAACCTAAAGAGTCTCTGTAGTCTTGTACAACTACTTATTGTGAGGCAGCAACTGTTGACAAGAGACAGTGTAACTCTGTTCCAGGCCTATTCCTTAGTGCACATCGAAGAGACTAGGAGAAAAGTTATGCTACAGCAACAGCCTTTTGAATCAGCTTTGGCAGCAGTTAAGCCCAAATCTAGGAGTGATAAGGAAAGAGACATGAAGAAGGAAGCTAAGAAGGACCTAGTATGTGAGCATTGCAAGAAACCTAAACATACTAAAGAGACTTGTTGGAAGTTACATCCACATCTAGTTCCAACAACACTCAAAAACAAAAAGGGGAATGCAAATATGGCTGTTAACACTAATAGTACAACATCATCTAGCACAAGAGGAAATCCTCTAGATACTCTAGCTGCTGTCCGAGCTGCTCTAGTTCAACTGGAAAATGAAGTTGGTAATTCAGCTCCACCTCCTCAGACACCATCAACACCCCTTACCTCAGCTTTTGCTCATTCAGGTAATCGGGCCTCAGTTACAGGTAATATAGAACATTCATGGATAATAGATTCTGGAGCATCTGACCATATGACTGGCTTGCCATCACTATTTACTACCTATCACTTATCTTCAAGTAGAGACAAAGTGTCCATTGCTGATGGCTCCCTCGTTCTTATTTCTGGCAAGGGAGACATCAAGTTGTCTAATGCTATTTCCTTATCTTCGGTTTTGCATGTTCCTAAGCTTAGTACTAACTTGCTTTCAGTTAGTAGCATTACAAAAAACCATAATTGTTCAGTAACCTTTTTTCCGAATCGATATGTTTTTCAGGATCGATGTGTTTTTCAGGATCTGGAGACAAGGAAGGTGATTGGGATTGGCCGTGAGGCAAATGGAGTCTATTTGCTTGGAGGGAGTCCTCATTGGGAAGATAGTGAGACTAAGAGGTCTTGTGTTTCTCAGTCTGTTGATCAGGCTATGCTTTGGCATAATAGGATGKGTCATTTATCTTTTCGGGCTTTGAAGAGTTTGTTTCCTAGTTTATTTGAATCTATCTAGATGTCTAGTTTTAAATGTGAGAGTTGTGAACTTGCAAAATACTACAGGACAACCTATACATTAAGTAATAATAGAAGTAATATTCCCTTTGAAATTGTGCATACTGATGTTTGGGGACCTTACCATACCACTGCCATGGGGGGGGGGTACAGATATTTCCTATTGTTTGTTGATGATTGTACTTGTTTTTCGTGGATTTATCTCATGCGTTCTCGAGATGAGGTTCCAACATTAACCTAGATCCTTCATCAGATGATTTTAGCCCAATTTAGGGTCAAAATCAAAATTTTTAGATCTGATCATGCGAAAGAATATTTTGCAAACCCATTAGCCTCCTATTTGCTTCAACATGGGATTATCCATCAAAGTATCTGTCCTCATACACCACGGCAAAATGGGGTTACTAAGAGAAAGAATAGACACATATTGGAGGTAGCTAGAAGCATTATGTTTACCTCCAATGTGCCTATACGTTTCTGGGGGGATGTTGTTCTTACAGCAGTGTATCTCATCAATAGGATTCCTTCACGGGTTCTTAATATGAAATCTCCATTTACCCTCTTATATCCTGATAAAGAGTTATTTACCATTCCCCTTAAAACCTTTGGTTGTACATGCTTTGTTCAGATTCTTGGCCTTCATTGTTCCAAGTTTGATCCTAAGGCCTCAAAATGTATTTTCCTTGGTTATGCACAAACTCAAAAGGGATATTGTTGCTATGAACCTACTTTTGGGAAAAGATTTGTCTCAATGGATGTCACTTTCTTTGAAGATGTACCCTATTATGCAAGGGTTTCTCCTCAGGGGGAGAGTAGTAAGGATGGGGTTAACTCGTCAAAAGTTCCTTTACCTATCCCATTAAGTGAAGAGGGGTGTAATGGGGAGGGTTGTCAGAGATGCATGGATGTGAGAGTCTATCACAGACGATGGAGACAGATTGATTTCGGACATCAACAATGCAAGCCAGTCCCAGTCTCCTCTGCAGATCCAGATCCCAGTACCATAGTAGCCCCAGTTCCTTCTACAGAGCCAGATCCAGGTACCACAGATACTACAGATGAAAGACATCCCACCATGGAGCCTTCACCTTCATTAGATGATCTTGATCTTCCCATAGCAGTTCGTAAGGGCATGCGCCGTTGCACCACATCTACAGCTCACAACATTTCTCAGTTCTTGTCCTACGATCATTTGTCTCCCTCCTACAAGTTTTCTCGCATCCACTGCCAATGTTCCCATTCCCAGAACAATACAAGAGGCATTGGAAGTACCAGAATGGAAAGATGCAATAAAAGCAGAAATGGATGTCTTCATCAGAAACAATACTTAGGAGATGGTTGATCAGCCTAAAGGTAAGAAACCGGTTGGATGTAGATGGCTATTCACTGTGAAACATAATGCTGATGGTTATATTGAAAGGTATAAGGCCCGGTTAGTTGCCAAAGGATTTACTCAGACATATGGTATTTACTACTTTGAAACTTTTACACCAGTAGCAAAGATGACCACTATTAGAGTCTTATTATCTCTTGCAACCAGTTACTCTTGGCCGTTGTATCAGATGGATGTTAAAATGCCTTGCTCAACGGAGACTTGCAAGAAGAGGTTTACATGCAGTTGCCTCCTGGATTTTATGGTACAGAGACGGGAAATAAGGTTTGTCGGTTGAATAAATCCTTGCATGGACTAAAACAGTTCCCCAGAGCTTGGTTTGATAGATTTAGACAAGCCCTTGAAAGGTTTGGATATGTATAGGCCCAGTCAGACCACACCTTGTTTATTAAGAGAGTGGATTCTTCCTTAACCTTGCTTGCTGTATATGTGGATGATATTGTAGTAACAAGAAATGATAATACTGAGATTGAGTCCCTTAAGCAACTCATTCATCAAGAGTTTGAGGTAAAAGATCTAGGAGCACTACGATACTTCTTAGGCATTGAGGTAGCTAGATCCAAGCATGGGATTTTTGTTTCTCAAAGAAAGTATGTTCTTGACTTGTTGGAAGAAACAGGAAAGTTGGGTTTTAAGCCTGCTGACACACCCATTCAACAAAATCACAAGATCAGTGCAGAGGGTGGAGAACCCCTTGAAGATAAAGCTATGTTCTAACGGTTAGTTGGAAAACTTCTCTATCTTTGTCTCACTCAACCCGACATCAGTTATGCAGTCAGTGTGGTTAGTCAGTATATGCACTTTCCTAGGACTACTCACCCTTTGCAGTTGAGAGGATACTAGCATATTTGCAGAGGTGCCCAGGTAGAGGCATTTTATTCAAGAATAATGATCACATGAAAATAGAAGTTTTCACAAATGCTGATTGGGTTGGGTGTGTTGATGATCGAAGATCTACCTCTGGATATTGTGCTTTTGTAGGAGGTAATGTGGACCCCACTAAGGTGGTCCCCACTGTTTGTATGTCAGCAATAAGTTATGATTAGGATTAGTTCTTTATGATAAGATTAGGACTAGTCTTTTATAAGATTAGGATAAAATTAGGATTAGTCTTTTTTCAGCTTTATCTAAGCAATTCAGTCCTTTTGCAAGTATGATACCATGTATATAAATTTAAAGGGGGGCGACTGTTTAAACACATCAACCCAACTCTCTTTTATCAAAATCTCTCTCTCTYTCTCTCTTTTCTCCCTCTTCTTTTCTTATTTTTTTTTTCTTCTCCTTTTTAAGTGTCTGTTCAATCTTGAGTGACTACTAGGCTCAGGTTGATTGCTACATGGACCACTCAAAGAAATGACACATGGCCAAGTCAAGGACTGACACTTAGCCGAGGATCGGATGAGCAAAGAGGCGTCGGCATGGAACAGCCTCATTTGACTGCAAAGGTAACAATGCATGCCTCAAGTCTCAGGTAAGAGGAGGACAAATGGCAAATGCCAACTGAACCTGCCTTGTGCCAAGGTCGGCATTAATGGTCCCAAATTCCACATTTCACAATGTGCAGCTTACGTCCCTAACGACTTGACTGTTAGTTGTTCCATAGGCTAACATACATCCCACTACCAAGGAGCACAACTGCACTCCCCATCACGTATATAAAGTCATGCAACCCAAGGTGAGACTCTCTTCACACTCTCTTGCTGTCAAGCTTTCTATACTGCTCTTGCTCACCTAAGCTTTTAGTCTCGTATGGCTAAGACCAACTTGGCCTAACCAGCTTGGCCCAGCCAATCGCTGCTCTCTCTTCACTGACTTGAGCGTCGGAGTGCCTCTGTGTGTGCATTGGACCAGCTCAGTTTGTCCAGCTCAACAATAACTTCATTTGCTACTCGTCCATCTCAGATCAAACAGCATCAACTGGCGATATCATTTCCTTTTCTTTTGTTCTTTTTTCATGATAATCATTATATTTGTGCATAGGCACATAAACATGTTCCATCTTAGTTTCTTTTGACAACTATAGTTTGCTGGTGATTGATTAAGCTTTTTTTCTTTTTTATTAATTTTTATTGGGAAATGATTTGTTCATTCCCTTTTTTTAGTTGTATCAAACAAATAAGATTTCTAATTTTATTGGGCTTTATAAGCTATACCTAGTATGGTCTCAGCCATCCATTATTATCATGCCTTCAGTCCATAACAGCCTCTACATTGCAAGGAGGCATTTTTTTGCAATCCAAGAGATCCAGCCATCATTTCTGTGAGATTAATTCCAGTCTCCAGGTATTTACAATGTGATGACTATGACACCCCTTCCCCCTATGGAAAGTTAAATAAGTGAATTTATACATGTTTTGGACAAGCAAAAATGTGTAGGTAAGCTGTCTTAGATAAAAGCTCTACTTGGGTAAAGCTACCTGTTAAATCATATTTTTTTGGGGAGAATGACCGATCAGCCCATGGTCAGAATTTGTAGGCCCAAAGTACAGATGGGGTGGATGCCAGCTCGGAATTGATGCCAATTCACGGGCGGGCATTGGTGTGTAGAGTGGGGGTTTTTGACCTTTTGAATGTTTATAGCTTGCAGTGGAAATCAGAAATCTGCATTGGGCCTGTCCGTACTTCTCCGATTTGTTTTTTTGGCTAAGAGGGGTCAGAGAAGGGTTCACTAATTTTATACTTGGGAGAAAGGAAATACACCATTAGTCCACTAAGGTTAGATATCAAAGTATTAGAGATACCTATTTTTTATCCTCTTTTGAATAAAAAAAAAGAGATACCTAATTTTTGTCCATTTTTTTTTCTTAAAATAGGTTAATTATATTATATTTTCTTTTCTTTTCCAGAAACCAAAATTTTTCTCATCTTAACTCCATTTTAGGTAGCTAGGGAAGCACCTACCTCTACTTGACCGCATATGATATTGTCAGCACCCTGTGAGAAATGAGACTCATGATAAAATATGCCATCAGACTCCTATGCACATATGAACATCCTTATCCACATACAACTTAGTAAACATCCATGCCCAGGAATAAACAAAAAGGGCCATTTCCTAATGTTGGTCCTAGCTGTCCAGGGTCATTTTGTTTGAAGATAAACAAAAAAAGAAAATTCATTAATCTTGAAAAAAGGAGATATGATCAAGATGATGTGATGAGGAATCTCAATCACCAAATGAAAAGAAAATTACAAGAAAAGGCAAAAAATACATCAAGATCTTTCTCCCAATCCCAAACAAGCCCGATAGCCATAATCAAATTAAAGACTCTAGTTAAAATCCAGTTGAGAATTCTTTAATCTTGAGAGGGGTGGACTGGATACAGATCTAACCTTTGGCATTTTTTGCAGTCTCTTAGACCTGAACCCACACTTTCTTGCTTGCCAACCCAAGATTTTACCATAGTAATACTAATAAAAAAGGACTTTACCATAGTATTACTTATCAAAAAAAAAAAAAAGAAGATTTTACCACAGTAAAAAATTGTTCATCTGTATTATAGATACTGTCTTTGTGCATGCTTCCATGATTATGCAATTAGCACCTATAAACACATCTGTGGTATGAATGCCTGACCATGCTTTCTTCTGTGCATTCTTTCATTTTTGAGCACCCTTAGGAGAGAAGGGGGTTCCAGATGACTATGAAAAGTCACATTTAACGTTTGACTGGCATTGTAAGTTTGTGCACAAGCAGTACAAGCAAATTGTTTGTTCTTACAATTTGTTCTGTGGATGCAGTACCCAGATCTGAAACCACCCTCTTCCCCAACTCCCTCAAAGCCTTGAGATTGATGTTGCAAACCTTTCTCCTTGAATTAGAAGCTTGGAGGCCACTAATTTGGCCCTAACATCCGTGAGGTCAGTTTTTGTTGCAGGCATTGTTTGATAAATTTTCAATTTTTTATGTTAACTTAATTTTTTGTCTTGAAAGATGCGGAGAGATTGTACAGAGAATGTATTTTAATTGTAGTCAATGCAATCAACAATTGTAAGGCAGTGTTTATTAATGTCTTGATGTTATTCTGATAATGTGAGAATCTGTTCCTTTTTTTTTTTCATAATGCACATAAACAAAGCATAAATTGGCAGCAGAGTGTCAAGTCTGAATTTTTGGGTAAGTTTACATTTTGTTTGGGCAGGCATCTCTGATGCTCGATTCAGTAAGGCCTTTATCTTATATTGAGATCGGCTAACCCGCTAAGCAGGCATCTTTGGTTCTTGGTTTAAATTGATTGGATCTGAAATACTTGAGCAAAGGTATTTGATCATGGAATTCTAGCAGGTCACTAAGATAAAGAACGAGTGATTACATCTAATCAAAATATGGTATTATCAAAAACATAAAAATATGCAAATAACTACCTGTCTTGATGGACCCATGTTTTTACTGGTTTGTTATAAAGAACGAGTGTTCAAACAACAGATTGGAGGAAAGCTTGAAATTGAAAGACTTTCTGGGGCATTTGCATCTTCCTAATTCCATTTTGTCCATGCTCATCTACGTTTAAAGAGTGGCATGCCGAAGTTTTCTATAAATTTTGGCAACAATATTTTGCCGAGGGGAGCAAAACTATGTGACTCCAACCATTGAAGTACTCCAGCTAAACCAGAGGCCACGACCACTCTAAACTAAAGTATTAAAAACCAACCCAGAAATGGCACAGCTTTGGCCATCGGTTTTCAGGTGGAATGGTTCAACCATCCGGTCTGAATGGATCAGCTCATAACATTTTAAAAATTAAAAAAATAATTAAAATGAAAAATGATCTGGAAACTGTTGTCGGGCCCAATCATTTAGTTGTTCAACCGTCGAGATTTCACAGGCCAATTCAACAATTTTTTGAAAAATCTGGGCCAGGTGAAAAATGAAACTGGATAAGTGACTAATTCTCGGGTTGGTGGTTCGACCACCCAGGTCAATGATGGTTTTAAAACCATGCTCTAAACTCATGTGGTTCCTGGCAGAAGAGGAATTTGCAACAATTTGCCAGCATCAGGATGCAATGTTTCGAGAATCAGACAATGTAAAATGGACAGTTGTATGCCTAGTAGACCTGTTCATGGGTCAGGGATTGGGCTTGGCTTTTGCCAAAACTCTAATGGGCCCAGCCCTAAGCCCGAGCCTGGAACAATGTAAAGTCGAGCCTGAAGCCCGGCCCATGAACAGGTCTAATGCCTTGTGGGTGCCATCAGGGAAATGCATAAAATGTTATGGTCACACCATTCGACAAGGCACCACGGCGCAGTCATAGGCAGCAGCCCACACAACAGGCCGCACAACAGTAGGCACCGCCTGGCAGCACTGCAGCATGCACCGCCGATAGCGCGCAGCACGCA